CTTTAAATGTCTACAGGATATGCAGTGATATGCTATCATTCCTGATTCCCCCCTCCCTTTTTTTAGAGACAGGGTCTCGCTGTGCAGCTTAGGCTAATCATTATCTTACTATGTGGCCCAGCCTGGCCTGCAATTTGTGGCAATCCTCCTGCCTCAGCCTCCCAAATGCTGGCACAAGAGGCACGTGCCATCATGCCTGGCTGATATTTGCTCTTTAGGAAAACATTTCTCAGGAATATGCTCTTGCTTAGCTTTTTTCATTGACAGAACTTTAGCTCTGTGAACGTTTATACTCTAGGTTCTATTTTATTATTTTCTGTTCTCTGTAATATGTGATCCCTTAAGATCTGGAGGTACACTGATCACCTTTTCCATTCCTTATATAGACAACTACTCTGCTTGTCTCAATCAGTTTTATTATTTTTTCAATCAATTTTTTTCTTTCTTGCTTTTCTATTAATGAAGTTTTCAAAATCTTTTTTTGGTTATTGTTGGTATGTATATATGTCTTTCTTTTTTGAGGGCAGTCTAGGGCAGCCTTAAACTTGCTACGTAGTTCAGGCTGGTGTGGAACTGGCAATCTTCCTGCTTTAGCTTCCTGAGTACTGAGATTGTAGGCATGTGCCATCACACCTGGCTATCAGTCTTTAAGTGTCTACTTTTTCTTCTATTGTTTTCAGTTCAATTTTTTTTCTAATTTCTTAAAATGAATCTCCTCCCTGCCACTCCCACCCCCATCAGGGGACTGAACCCTGGTCTTGTTGTACTGAGTCATATACTCAGACTTAATTTTATTTTGAGACAGGGTCTGATAAAGTTGATAAACTGTGCAGGTTTGCTTACGCTTGCGATCTTTCGGTCTCATCCTTCTAGAATGGTGAGAACACAGGCATGTGACACCATGTTTTGCTGGTTCACTAGTTTTCTATTTTTGAAAAACTGTATGCATTTTGAGCCATATAATTTCAACTAAGTATGGATCCAACTGCAACCCATAAATTTTGATATGCAGTATTTGCATTACTAATTAAGAGAAATTAGTTTCTTCTTCAATGTACTTAAGGCCTGGCTATTAAGAGTTACATAAGGAGAAAACAGACAAAAAGGACATGTGACAGACTCCTCCAATGAAGATGCAACACTGTGGGCCAGACTTCTCACCTTATTACCATAAGCACAGAATTTATTTGACTTCAAAGGGTACTAGTCCATGCCTTAGACATAACTAAGTCTACAGGAAAGAAAGGAAACAGGAACACATTCAATGTCACCAAAGAAATCCAGTCAGCAAAATGCAGCCTGAGGAAAAACAGTAGACACTTTAACCTGCATTGTTTAAATAACTATGAAGGAAAAATGATAGAGAACAATTTTACAGTTTAAAAGAAATTTATAGACAAATATACCAACTGTCTTATCTAGACCTTATTTCTATCCTGATATTGAAAAAAGAAAGAAAGAAAAATATACAATGGAAGTAGGAATACTGAATACTAATTGGGTATTTCATTACATTAATAAATCCATGTTAATTTTTATAGGTATGAAAACAAATTTCATTGTTTTTCTTTCCCTTTTCTATGAGTTTTCATCTTCTGAAAGTATATACTAAAATATTTGTAAATGGTATGGCTGAACAAATTTGCTTCTAATCTTATACATCTAATTGTGCACAGAAGGTCAGAAAACAAACTGGTTCTTCTGCTGGGCTGTTCCTGCCATGCTGGCTGGCTCATCCCAGTGCAAATGAGTTAAGTGGGCATGAAAGACCAAAACAGATGCACTAATTTTCAAAGTGATACACTACTTACATTATGTTCTACAGTTCAAACAGGTCAACTGTAGTACAATGTGAAAAGACAACACACAAAAGCACGAATACCCAGAGGCAGAGGTTGGCAGGAGACAAAGAGCATGTAGGTGAAAAAAACTGTCAGGATGAAGTTATGAGGTAAATACATGAGATATTATTACCTGCATTTCTCTTCATACATATTTGTAGTTTTCTATAATAAAAAGAATTTAAAAGGATATCCATATTCAAATGAAGCAAGAAAACATAAAAAGGCTATTCTGTATTAGCAGAGTCCCACTGAAACCAATGGCTGGTCAGAAGGACTGTGTATCTGTGGCCTGCATAAAGCTGTACTTTCTCAGATCTAAGTCATCAGTCTGAAATGTGATATGCAAGCATGTGTCTTGCACCATTTTTTCACTGTTCACATGTATGTGCACTATTTTTTAAAGAGAATAAAACAAAACAAAACAGACCAAAGTAGATCAGAACAAAAACATGAAATCAACACAGGCTTTCAAAGCAAGACAATAGGAAACCTACAGTGGGTACACCATAATGTCTCTTGTTTTCTTCAAAATAGTTGTCCTTATCTTCACACACAATGAATTCAAACAATACAAAAGTAATAGTATAAAACCATTCAAAACAAAAGCATGAAAGCATTACAGGACTTCAAAACCAAACAATAGGAAAATCAACATAGACTACCATAATGTCTCTTATTATCTTCAAAATAGTTGTCCATACCTTAACATATATGGAAATCAAATAATACAAAACAGACTAAAATCACTCTAAACAAAGAACAAAAGCATTACTGGACTTCACAACAAGATGAAAGGAAATTAGCAATGGCTACATAATGTCTCATCTTCTTCAAAGTAGCTGTTATTACCGTCATACTATCATCATCAATAAAATCAATTCTTGGTAAACTCTTTAGGAGAAGTTCTAGGCATGTATAAGCCTATACACGTACATCTATCGTTTCTGTATTAGAGGGAAAAACAAAACAAAACAATATCTTGCAACATTTAAAGTGGTCTAAATATTACAAATTTGTTCACTATCAAAAAGTGACTTATAATGCATAAAGAAGCTACTAGTTAATAAAAGTATCTTTAAGAACTATAGAAAAGATAAAAAGAAAAATGCTTAATAAAATATGTTGACAGTAATAATATACCTTAAGGGAATTGCTAAAATTACAAAACCACACTCTACCAGTAAAAATAATTAGTTGAAGTACTAAGATTTCTAGAAGTATAATGATGATTGGTTGATTTGTTTATTGATTGACGGACTGATTGATTGACTGAGATGCTGAGGATAGAAGCCAGGGCCTACACAGCCTTCTCCTTTCTATTGTGTATTTTGCGACAGTAGGTCACTAAGTTGCCTAGGTTAGGCTTGACCTTGTGAACTTCCAATCATATCTTCTTAGAGCACTGGGATTACAGGGCTTGTGCCACCATGCCTGGCTTAAGGTTTATTATTTTTAGTAGTAACATCATTTTAACTGCAGATTCCTGAAGACTCTATAACTTTCTTCAATAATGTTTAAGTTTCATATTAAGTAATCACTGAATATGAAGTAGGTAAAAAACTTAGGGATAATATCTTTTCATCTAGCAAATTTGTTTAAGCAGTCAACAGATGCTTTATTATAATCTAAGACTTTTACAAACTCTTTACTTTGTTGAAAAATTTGTTTTTCTTTTGAACTCTGCTTTTCACATTTGAGGGCTCCCTATGATATATAGTATTCCTTAGTCATCTGCTTGTTTTTTAATAACAATAACGGAAGACCAAAAGCTGAATATAATTGCGAGTCATCAGCTTGAATTTTCACTGAGTGATTAGTTGGAGAACCAGTATCACTGTAGAGATGTTTTTCTCTAGGACTAGTCAGACTACTCAGAAAAATTCTTTAATTTCTTATCTGGAGAAGGAAAGCCTATCTGCTAGGGTTAATGAAAGTCCTACAAAATAGGTGGCTTGGGAGTCTCTGCAGATAGCATGTACACAGTCACTTAATCTGTTTGATTTCTGCACGGTTCCTTGTTTTAACTGGGCCTAGTGTTCTCTAATTCAGACACCTTATACTATTTTCTTCTTACACTGGTGACAGGGTTGTAAACAGATAAAAACATTTTAGAAAAATGTTTGGTAGGACCAGGGATATAGCTTAGCAGCACAGCAGCACAGTGGCAAGCACAAGGTGAATTACCCCCTACCAGAAAAAACTGTTTGTTAGCACAGGCCAAAGCTATATAAATGTGTAATATAATCCCTCTTCTTCCAACATACACCAAATAAAAAGGAGAGGTTTAAATCCTCCAATACACTTACACAAGAATGCCACAACAGCTTTATTTACGATAGTTAAAAAGTAAAAACCACCCAAATGTCTAACAATGTATAAATAAGCTACTGTATATCCATACAAAAGTCTACTACATTGCAGTGGAAAAAATTCAAAGTCTGACATATGCAAAACTATAAATGTCAAAGACATTTTAAAAAGTATTTTTTCTATATGGATCAATTTATAACAAGTTAAATAAAAGATACAGTTTAGAGAAGTCAAAACAATGGTGGTCTCTGAGAGTGGGAGCAATGACTGGAAAGGTATTAAGTAAGGCAATTTTCAGGAGTGATAGAAATGTTCTTTCTTGGTTTGGATGATGGTTACACAGGGGTGCACATAAAGAAAGCTGTATCTTTACAACTGTGTATTTCACTGTTTAAAGTTACATATAACTTACATCTTTTTCTGAAATATTGAATACATGAATATTTTGGTAATAATGAAGTTTAAAATGTCTCACTAATCCATTAACATAAACAACTATATTCCAATGACTGAAATAACAAGTTATTTAATCAGCAATATCTTAAGACATTATTTATTTGTTTTGTATTGGGTTTTCTGAGACAGGTTTTCACTATGCAGACTGGCCTCAAACTCACAATAGTCTTCCTACCTCAGCCTCCGCAGTGCTGGGTTACATGCATGTGCCACTATGCCCAACTTGAGATATTATTTAACAGCATTTAACTATGTTTTAAATGCAGTAAGCAGTAATTTGGTGATGTATCATACACTTTAAGGCGCACCCAACACTAAATTACAGTTCGCTGGGAATTCACTGAAAACACTTTTCATTCAAGTCCTACCAGGAGCATACAAGGTACTTACCCTTCCAACCTGACATCTGGTAAACTTCTGTTGAGTGCAATCATCTCACTTGCCATTAAATTGAACTGGTTGATTTTAAACATTTCTTTCATTTTCTCTTGATCCTCTTTAGGAATGACGACTGGTTTCCCCATTTCTCCAGGGCCTTCATGAGGCTTTTGTACTGGCTCTAAAACTAAGAATAAGAAGAAAACTTACCTAACAATTTCAAAGCAATTGATTCACACTGTTGCCCTTAACAACAAGAGCCACTTCTGGGCCGCCCCCTCTCCCAGTCTGTTAATACCTCATGTGGCTGCACTGTCCCCCACTTCCATGCTGATACTCCAACTCAGAACCTCCTCACTTTGTCCTGTGTATCTGAATTACTGTACAGTTTTGAACTCCCATCTCAAATATTACCACACTGATCTTCCTAAAGTATAACCTTTACTGTTACTCTCATGGTCTCATGAAGTTCAACCTCTGTAACACAGAATTTAACTTAACTTGCCAAATCAATCACCTGCTAGGTACTCCTCTTCAACCCCTCATCCTTCAGCCCAATGGCCATTCACCACTTTTCTTCAAATATGCCTCACATTCTTTTGCTTCTGTGCCTTTGTTCACAAATATCGTCTCCCTTAACATGCCCTTTCCATTCCTATCTTGGCCATATGAAACCCCAATTGGTCTTTAAGCCCAACTAAAATGGCTTGTATTGCCTGCAGTCTTCCTGAATCGTTCCACAGGAATCATCTGCTATTCTCAGCTACCCCATCATTTCATCTAGGATTCTTATGTCTCAAATCAATTCCTGTGTTTAGAATAATAACTGCTACACTTGTTACACACCTTTCTACATTAGACTCTTCCTACAGTGTCTTTTTTGGTTGGAATTTGATTCAGTCATGCTGCTATGGAGTTTAACATAATGTTTTACAGGAGGTTTGTAACTATATTTTGGATTAATATGTCAAAAAAATCAACTGCCATTCAAAAGAAGTCAAATCCTAGACTTGATAATAGCAGATGCTTTAGCAAGGTTTATGAAGGAAGACCATTACAAATGATAATTCTAAATAAAAGTAATGTTATTCTGTGATGTTATATTTCACATATAAAAACAGACTAATGTTCCACATCAGTACTTCCCAAACTTGTTCCTTGTTATACACTTTCAAGATGTTAGTAAGTGTGAGATATGCGGGGCAGAGGTCTTAGTAAGTAATCCAAGAAAAATAAGTTCTTAGCTTTATTTACACTTGGAAAATACTAAGTTATCTAAGAGATGGATAGAGAATTTGGTGATGCCAAGAATGTAATGAAAATGTGTTTTGTACATTACTTGTTTAAACCTGAAAGTTATATTCTCTGTCAGTGTTTTTTAGGCATTTTCAAAATTTCTCTAAGAATAATGACATCAAGGAAGTAAAAAAAGCACCTCTTCAGTCAGCCTTCATCTGCCCAAGAAGAGCACCAGTTGGAAAGACCGTTCAGGAGGATGGTTTTTGAGATGGTGTGGTAAAAAACAGCTTACCAATACCAGGAATGCAGGATGTGCAACTATTCAATGTGTTCTTAAGAGCTCTTTCCAGAATATAAAAATCTGTGTCACAGACCATTAGGAAAAAACACCCTGAACTAGTGATGCACACCCATAATCTCAGCACTCAGGAAAGTGAGGCAGGAAGACTGCCATGAATTTGAGGCCAGCCTTAGCTATACAGTGAATTCAAGACTAGTTTGGAGTACACAGTATAACCCTATATCAAAGACCAAACCAAATCAGTGATGCATAATAATTTTCCCCTGTTCTTAAGAGGGACATTCAGAAATTAAGAAGTAATTTTTGAGATTATATGAAACTCAACTAACACAGTTTGAAAAAAAATTCTGTGTCTGCCAAGAAATAAGCTCTTTAAATATGAGTTGTTCAACAAGTGTAATAAAACCTATAATACAAATATAGAAGTATGTTCCAGATAAGCTTTTAGAGCTTTAAAATAATAAATCATAAAACAAGAATTGGTTCTATTTACTTGTCACTGAAACTAAAGAACATCAACAGATTTTGGGATTGAAACATTCAGGAATAAATAAAAAAGAGCAAAGGTGACAATGATCTTTTATGGATGATTCAAATGACATAAAGATTAGGTAGAAGATATCCAGTGGCCATGATTACAAATATCTTTCTGTTATCTTAGCCCTGTTTTAATATAAGATGATGCTTTAAAGGAAAGTTAAAATGGAAACATGCTGCTCAGTTTTTAATTTAAGAGTACTAGGTTACATGCATACCACCTATAACATGTTTTTGCTGATGATAAAAAAAAAAACAAGGCTTTGGATACAAATACCAACTCACAGGAGACACAGGGACATGATAAAACAAGATGAAAAGGAATACAAATCTAGGGTAACTGGAAAAGAAAACTAATCCAATTTCTTTTTCAATAACAAAAACAATAATGAGGGTTTGGGGACAAAGAGAAAGAGATACATGTCACAAAGGACAATTCTTAAAGCCAGATTATGGAAGTGTAATTTTCTATTCCCTTTTTCTTTATTTTAAACTCCCATGTGGAGACATAAAAGAAGTTTTAAGAAAGTATTACTGTAAGTGCTGCAAAGTATAAATTTGATTATTTACAGCATAAGAAACTGTATGACCAAAAACTTTAAATTTTGTATCATCACTGTTGGCCTTGACATCTTAAAGAATCAGGCTATAATATGCAACACATATAATCCTACTGCTGTAATGTTATATAAATCTGATCATCTGGTTCAATAATCTAAACTTTAGTATAGGGCCTACTTATATAATGTATTAGTATGACATGAGATTTCAGAGCCACATTTAAGTTAACATTAATCAAAATTATATGACTACTAGATGACTTACAGGATCCACTATGATATTCTAATAAAGAAATGATAATGTCCCTACATGGATTACTAAATAACTTCCCTTAGCAAAGAGGGCAGGATGAAATGCCTATGAGTAATGATACTTTAACTACTAATGTACTTATAGTATTAGAAAGCAACCATCAACAAAAGGCAGGTATTATTTTATTTCTACATACCTTATCTGCAGTCTTTTATGTACATTTTTAAAAGTGAGGTTAGGGAGTGGTGATGTGGCTCAACAGTAGAATATGTGCTGAGCTAGCATTTGGCCTTTGTTTCCACATCCAGCATCAAAATCAACAAAACAAGTGAGTTTAGGTTTTTATTTGAAACCAAATGAAATAGCTCTTGGATGTCATTTCATAAGCAGAAAAAAAATTCCTAATAAAACTTCACATGTAAAATAATTTCTAAGAATCAAATCAGTGACTTCCAAGAAGATGACAGAGTGGTAAGCAACAACAAATCTACTCCTCAGAATCCAGACAATGGAAAAATAGCAACCTGGGGAAGAAGAGGAGGAGGGAAGTGGATTCCCAGGACCCAGAAAGGATCTGAAGGGAAAATGAGAATTCACAGACAAAGTGAAGAGACAGTCAGACCTTGTGCAGAAAAAGGAGGAGGCAATCTGCACTTTCTTGTGGCTCCTGGGTTTGTGATATGAGAAAGAAGGCTCAAATCTCCAGTGACAGTAAAAACAGGAGACTCCAGAGGCCTCCAGGTAGAAACACTACAGTGGAATGGAGAAGTGGCAGCTGGAGAAGTGAACGATGGCAGCTGGTGAGTGACTTCAGTCTAAGCAACTTCTGTGTCTCTGGAGAGGGAGCTCAGTTGGATGTTATTTTAGGGAAGGGCCAACTAAACCTGGGGCTTGCAGTAGCCATGGGTTGGCTTCATCTCAGGGCTCTCAGTGTTGAAACTCCACAGTGACTGGGTAAGAGACAATGGCAGGACAGGTCTAAGGTCAGGAAGCCATGGTCAAGCCAGCAAGAGACACCTGAGTATTGCAGGTTGAATTCTACTGATTTGATTGTAGTTCGGTGCACGATGAGAGACACAGGTCTAGGTTTAATGTGCACCATGTGCAAAGCCAATTTTCCTAGAACCATTTATTAATGAGATTTTCTCTTCAGTGAAGGTGTTTGGAATTGTCTGTGCATCATCTGTTTTGTTCTACTGCTCTTTGCGTTTCTCCCCCCACCCCCACCCCAACCATGCAATTTTTATCACAGTAGCTTTGTAGTATAATTTCAAGTCAGGGATTGTGATGTCCCCTGCTTTGGCTTTATCGCCTAGAATTACTTCTGCTATTTTATGTCTCTTCTGATTCCATATGAATGTTAGAATTGTTTTCTCTAATTTTGTGAGGTATGCTCCTGGCATTTTGACTGGAATTGCATTAACTCTGTAAAACAGTTTTGGAAGTATGGCCATTTTAACCATATTGGTTCTGCCTATGCAAGAATGAGGGCTATCTTTCTATTTCCTGATAACCTCTTCTATCTCCCTTTTCTCAAAGTACTACAGTTTTCTTTTCTTTTCCTTTTTTTTTCTTTTTTTGTAGTTTTCAATGTATAGGTCTTTCATGTCATTTGATTTATTCCTAGGTATTTTGTTTTTCTTGATGCTATTGTGAAAGGTATTGTTTCTCTAATTTCTCTCACAGTGAGTTTGTTATTCATGTCCAGGAATGCTACTGATTTTTGAGTGTTGATTTTATGTCCTGCTATGTGCCAAATTTAGTTATTAATTCTAGGGTCTGCAATATAGAGTATAATCAACAAAAAAATGCTAAAACTTCTTCCTCTCCTATCCATGTTTGTTTTATTTCTTTCTCTTATATAATTGCTCTGGCTAATGTTTCCAGAACTATATTGAACAGGACTAGTGGTAGTGGACATACTTGTCTTCTTCCTGATTTTAGAGTGAAAAGTTTCAGTTTTTAACCATTTGAATGTTACATGCTGTTACAGAAAAGAAACAAATCACCTATAAAAGAAAGACCATCAAAATCACAACAGACTTCTTGACATAAACTCTTAAAATCAAGGAGAGCTTGTAGTGAAGTATTTCAAGCCTTCAAAGAAAACAACCTCCCACTTGGATTGATGCACACCAAAATTTTAGCTTTCAAAATTGATGGAAAATATCAAGAACAACTGAAGAAATTTATAACCACCAAACTAGCACTCCTAAATGTTCCAAAGGATTTTTTTTTTTTTTTTTTTTTTTTGTGCTGGGGATTGAACTCACGACCTCAAGTTTGCCAAGCAGGCACTTTTACCGCTGAGCTAAACCCTGGCCCTCTGAAAGATATTCTTAAGAAAAAAAAAAAAAAAAAAGAAAGAAAAGAAAAGAAAACAAAGACAATTCCAAGAATCCCAATAGAAAGAACAGTCCAGGCAAAGAAAACAATTAAACAAAAGGGAAAAAGAGGTAACCAATGATAGGAAAACAATATGACAAGAGTAAGTTAATACATATCAGTTACAACCATCAATGTAAATGGTCTCAAATCACCAATCAAAAAATAAGACTGGCCAAATGGATCAAGAAACAAGATCCAACAGTATGCTGCATACAAGAAAAAATAAATTCATAGAAGTCTGAAAGTAAAATACAAACTACATGACATACCTTTGAATATATTTTAATAAACCATTAAAATTTCTAATTGATATTTGTCTCATGGAAGAAGATATAACAAAGTTACAACTTCCTGTCCTGAGTGCTGCACTGGTCTGCAGGGCTGCAATTTCTAATCTGTTTCAGCCTCCAAGAGTGCTGGACTATAGGCTTGCTAATCTAATTCTCCATCAACAGAACTCTACTATTTTAGATAGTCTGAAATTCAAAATGCAAGTATAAAACTACAAGAGAATGATTCAGCAAAACAAAACAAGCCCCTCTGGAATAAATCAAGGACTGACCCTCTATTTCTTTAAGTAAGTAGGTAACAAAGTTAAGAATCCCCAAAAACTGTTAAATATACCAAAAATCTTCTAAGAGGCTTTCAGCAAAATCATAAATAACACTAAGTAATTCTGCTTAAATCTAGGAGATCTTTATTATAATGTTAAGAAGAGATTTTGGTAGATTTTACCAAATTAGCACTGAGTTGAATGTTCAGAAATAAGATTCTTACAGTATTGAAACAATTACTCTGAGTCTCATTTGCTCCACTTTTTTGCTTTCTGGCTTTCATATAACATGGAAAATGAAAGTCCTGGAGGCTCTATTAGAGACTTCTAGAACATGTGATGTATATGCCAATTTCACTACATGCTACTGAGCACCCTTCCCTGTACCCTTCAGTAAAAGATGTCTTCAGAGACACCACTGCCATTTGTCATCAACAGAACCTTAATAAGAAACATCAGGGTTCTGACTGCACTTGGGATCTGTCAACAACCAATGCACTGAAACTTCAAATTAAGGCAAGTTTTTCAAACTCTTCTTATTAACATCAACCAACTTCTTTCCCTGACTTATTCTCATCTTTTCCCTTCATCTTTGTAATACTACAGACACAGTCTTTAAACTAGCTACTCCAAAGACCCATCAAAAACACTGCCCCTCAAGACCATGTCCTCTTAGCTACTTAGCTTCTGGCTGTGGCCCATTCCTCTTACTTCACTCTTCCATGGGTGACTTCCATCTCTGTAAGTCCCACAGAACACCATACACTCTAAGGTCAAAAACCTCTTCATTACCTTTTTCTACTCCAGATTTCACTCAAATTCAGCTCTCCCAAAGCCTATTAACCTTGCAAACTTTTCTGGGCGAACTGTTCATTCACCTTTTCTCCAGTGACAATGATGTTATTCCTAGCTCCACATGGCTATTTTCAAGCTATTTCTCCTTTACTCTGTACTTCTGTACTTTATGCAATATGTACTCCTTTTCTTTGAAGATTATGACACTAGTGGTTTTCACACCCATATTAACCTTAAGATCTTCCTGAAGAAAATTCTTTACTTGTGTTTTGAAATCATACTGTCTCATCTGCTGAAAATTTCGTCTTTCAAGTATCTTTTTTTCCTCTTTAAATCATCTCCTATATATACACACAAAGAACAGCAATTTTGGTTCCATTCCTTTTTTTAAAATCTTGTATATTATCTCTGCTTCATGCTAAAGCTTCCCAAAACTAAGTTACACATGTGCAGTACTTCACAGGTATATCAAATTCCTTGCCTGCCACATTCACACTCACTCTAGTGACACTTGCCAGGGTCACTAGAAAACCCTTTACCTTGCCAGGGATTTAGCTCAGCATAAGCGCCAGTCTGGCAAGTGCAAGGTCGTGAGCTCAATCCCTGGTACCAAAAAAAAGAAAGAAAGAAAGAAAGAAAGAAAAACCTTTACAAAATCTATCAGAAAACTCTAATCTTTGTCTTAAGCAAAATCTATATAAATACCACTTCTGAGCTTCCCTGACCTAAAATCTCATGAAAACTGCTCCTTTTCGAAGAGCCCCACCTCTTATCAATCAGAAACCCTTGAAGGTCACCTTAAACCACTGGTTTAAGAACCATATGCCACATATGCCACAGCAGGCTGTTTATACCACTGAAATCTCTAAAAGGTTCACATTACAAAATCTTTTTCTCTTTTATTCCCAAATATTCAGTGCTCTCCAAATTATGTAAATTGCATTATTAAAGTATCATTTTAGTGTAGGCCATACACACTCTTCCAAGCCTTCACCAATACCTTAGTTCACATGACTTTGCTGTCTGTCTCATTTTCTTGCAGTTCAACAGTCAGATGACTACTAATACATTTTTCTGAAAATCCAGATCAGATCACATGACTTAACTCCCTTGTTTAAAATCCTTCAATGGAATGCCACTGGCTACAGGATTAAGTCCAAAATCTTCACAATGCCATAAGGATTCTGTAGCATTCATGATGTGGTGTTTGCCACCTCAAATGCTGTAACCCATGCTCTAATTCATCAGCTCTTCCTTGCTTATCTTGGAGACTTCTTTCTTTAGTTTAATAGTTCTTCATCTCCTTCATCAAATTTAATAAATGCCTGAATTTATTTGTAGGTTTCAATTCACAGAGTTTAAAACTGAGTTTTCCAAGTCTCCTCCACCCAATATACCACTACTGTCTACCTAGGTCCTTCGTGTTCTGTTTTCCACAGCTTTGCAGTGATCTCACTGCAGCCTTATTCTACAGCCTGACCTTAAGCTCTTCCTAGAAGTACTAAATGGCCATCTATAGTATCAACCAAAGGAACTTTTCATATCACATTTATCTATAAAAGCTTCTTCCTCTTTGGAATGAGATGGCAGGAAAAAATCTTTTTGATATCTGATAACATAAATTTTATGTTCCACTCAGCATTATGGCATCTTACAATTTTGATAGTTACACCTATGTATGAGATTCCCTATATCATTTGGCAATATGAGCTGTAGAAAATTAACTACATTTAATACTGAATACAAAAACTGAATTTAGATGTTCGATAATGATACTTTAATAATTCTAGCTGTTAGAAAAAACCACTACAGAATTGTTGGAAATATGATCATACACACACACACACACACACACACACACACACACACACAGAGTGCAGTCACTATACACATAATCTTTATTTAGATTATAATTAATCTAAAAGTTAAAATTTTTTATTATTCAAATATAAAACTAGTGATATAATTATCAAAACAATTATATTATGTCACTCACCATCCCCGGCAGGAAGTCCTCTCTCCTTTTTCTCATCACATTTGTTGCATTCACTGAAGTAAAGCAGCAGGAACATATCCAAGAGTACCCAAATCAAGGAGGTGGCTAGGACCACCTTGCAATATGCAAATTTTCTCATGGCACTTTAAGTCAAATGAAAAATTTTAAAATACATATATATATATAAATATATAAAAATCATGAAAATTATCCCAATCCAGCTTCATCAGAAATCACGTTCATACCCTATAAAGAGAAAAGAGAAGAAATGACTTAAAAATCAAAACCTAGAAAATGAATTATATGGTTAATTTAATATTATGAACATTGAGAAATATGACTTAATTTGATTAGTATAACATTTCATGATTATACATATAACTCTTACAAAACAATATCCAAGGAAATGGGCAAAGAATATAAACAGGCAACACAACCAGCCTGCCTCCCTGGTAAGTGGCTATGCTGTGGCAGGCTGCAGCAGCTCCAGGGGGAGAACCATTGTCTCCTCAGATCCGTGCCATGTTGAAACTTAGGACACTGGGAAACCAAACAAGCAGCTTACCTCCCTGGTAAGTGGCTGTGGTGTGGCAGGCTGCAGCAACCCCAGGGGGAGAACCACCAGCGTCTCCTGAGATCCGTGCCATGTTGGAATTTAGGAGGCTGGGAAACCAAGCAAGCAGCTCACTTCCCTGGTAAGCGGCTGTGGTGTGGTGGGCTATGGCCCTTCCAGGGGGAGAACCACCAGTGTCTCCTGAGATCCACACCATGGGAAACCAAGTAATCAGCCTGCCTCCCTGTTAAGCAATAGTGAGCCTACCCATGCACAGGCTTAGAGTCAAACATCCCACTTCCCTTGCCCCCCTTTAGCAAATGGGAACCAGAGATCTGACCATCTTTTGGGAGGTTGACCATATGCAATATAGCAAATAAGGGGGATTTCCTTTTAACATCTTCCTGAAGGCAAATATTTTTACTACTGGTTTGCTTTAGTCTGATTAATGGTACTGTTCTGTTCAATATTCTGTTTTGATAAGTTCTACAGTGTTCTGTACTTCATTTTATTTTGCTACCCATGATTCAAAGAACTAATGTGATGATAACGAGATATACTGTGATACCTATTGCTGTTATCCCGGTAACCTGCTGTGAAGTTCAGTATCGATTTCACTACACTGTCTCAACTGGCTTTGTTTTGTATTTTACTACCTTCAAAACAATAAAAAAAATTTTTTTTAAAAAGAAAAACATACAGGATCATCAAAAAAATATATATAAACAGGCACTTTGCAGAAAGGATACATACATAGCCAACAAATGTATGGAAATGTGCTCAATTCCCCGTAACTAGACACATTAACAGTGAACTTTTGTTTTACACCCATCAAATACATTAGCCTTAACTCTCTATTCAAATACTTTATTAAATTTTAAGGCAAAAACCAAACTACTAGTTGTCATAAGAGTTTAAACAACCAATGATCCCAGCCTAGTTCAACCTCCAGAGATCCCAGACCCAAAGGTTCTCCTGGTAACCTGTACTGCAGCAGTTTATGAGACTAATTCTTGCCTCAATTTGTCATTGAAACCCATCCTAAAAACTCTACAGTGATTATCACCCAGGAGACATGGGAGACAATATCATAAGACCTGAGACCTAATCTTGTTTTTCACTTTGTTCATTTTAGTTTCTATCTTCAACTCGCCTATCTCCCCTTATTCTTTTATATCATAAGACAATGACTGACAGACATCACCAAATCTGGAAATTCATTTGGAAACAATAGTTCTCATCATAGAAACTAATAATTTTATATGTTGAGCTACTTCACATAAAAAGCTACCTCTTCTGGTTACTGCCAAGGAATCTGAGTACTGATGCAATGGACTTCAAATGTCGTAGTTTCTAAAATACAATTTTTTAGTTAATGTGTAATAGACCTAAATATGCCTGACAAATCTGCCTTTTCCTCTCCCTCAGGAGAAAGGAAAGGCATGTCAGCACAAAGATCCGTACACAAATCTTTATTGCAGTTTAATCATAATCATCAAAATCTGGAAACAATCCAAATATCCCTCACTTGGTGAATGAATAAGCAAATTATGGGAGAGGTTCAGCATCTCTTATCTGAAATGTGTGGATCAGAACTGTAGAACAGATCTGAATTTTTCACATTGTACAATAATTTCCATGGGCTTTACAGGTGTAGCATCCCTAATCTGAAGTATGAAATGCTTCAAGATCTGAAACTCTCTGGGTGTCACACTGGCACTCGTGTCACATTTCAGAGCATTTTTGATTTCACATTAATTGCTCAACTTGTACAGTTTGTCTAAAAAGTTCATATAAAAACAGTATAGTTTGTATAAATATTCAGAAATGCATCAATAAATGATTGCTATTAGTATTTCCTCAAGTATTACCCCAAGTTTAAAGGTTAGGGGAACAAGTTTATTATACGGGGTGCTGATGGTATGGCTTGCTATGAAGTTTATTGGTTCAAATATTTTCACTCAGGACAAACTCTGATACCTTGATTAGTATACCAATTCCTGAGGTAATAAATCGAACTAACTTCTTGCAATATCTTGAAAGTTTATGATTTTTCCAAAGATATGCTCAAATACAATGAACCTGACAAATACAGAAAAGGATAAACTCACATCCCAGTTAAACTCTATTATTCCTTTCAGTCTTCAAGAATAGATTTATCATGTTTTAAAGCAAGTCTGTAATTATCTATTTTGACTGAAATGCTATAATGTCTTAAATAACCTTATTATGCGGGGGGGGGGGGGGTTGGTATGACTATTAAGTGGCAGCATGCAAGACCTCCATGGTCATGCTGGTTTGTGTGTGTGTGTGTGTGTGTGTGTGTGTGTGTTTTGTTTTTGTTTTTGTTTCTTGAGACAAGGTCTGCTATGTAATACAGATTGGCCTTGAACTAACTATGTGGCCCAGGCTGGCCTTGAACTCACAGCAATCCTCCTGACTTAGCCTCCCAAGTGATGGTATTACAGGCATGCACTATCACACCTGACTGAAAATTTTTTTTTAATAATATGTTTGGCAGACATTTTAAATCCTCTTCCCACCACAAACATAGAGCAGCACATCTTAGGCAACATAACATTTTACTGCTCACTTAATATCTACAAAGGAGGTATTTAAAAAGGTTACATATATACTCAATATTTGCAAAGGAGGTATTTAAAAGGGCCACATATATTTTTTTAAAAGACATAAAAATGTATGAATCAAGGAAGTTTCCTGGCTCATGACAGGACTTTGTCCCCTTCCCTTTCCCTCCTTCTATGGTTTCTTCTGTAACAAATCCAGTCCCACAGCCATAGGTTAGTCAAATGACCTACCTAGGCCAACCACAGGACCTGACTCCTTGGCCTCTTAAATCACAAAGGCCCACCTATAGTCAAAGAATAGAGACTAAGCAGAAGCATGCAAAATGAGAGGCAGAAGGCCATAATGATGATCAAGTCCTTGACTCACAGCTTTGTGATCACTTAAGAATCCTATCAAGGGGTGGCAGTTTAGCTCAGTGACATGAGCACCTGCCTGGCAAGCGTGATGTCATGAGCTCAATCCTCGGAACCAAAAAAAAAAAAAAAAAAGAAAAAGAAAAAGAATCAATACTCTTTGCTTACTTAAGAGTCTGAACTGGCCTCCTGATACAACCAAAATGCTCAGGAGATTAAGGGAGGGGCATGGAGGTTAGGATTCTATAAGCAAAATCAAGAAGGCTCTGGTGCACTGATAAATTTCCTTTACCCTCTACTCATCATGGTTCTGGTGCACTGATGAATTTCCTCTTCTCTCTACTCAACATAAAAATCTATACAGTATATATAAAACTTGTCATAGAAATAAATAATCACAACACAACACACAGGTAAGAACATAATCTTTGAAGTTCCCTCCCCAATCTCTTTCCCAGCTCTTCAAAGGTAACCCCTACTCTGAAATTACTACCTTCTTTTGTTCTGAATGTTTTAGTTACATCTGTTTCTGAACTGTCTATACATGGGAAATTCTAAGACTTGCTCCCCCCAATACTGCATTTCTGAAGTTTACTCATATGTTACGTGTAGTCAATTAATTTTCACTACTTAACAGTATTCTGTCACTTGTATTATGGCATCTCTTCTTGTAATAGACATTTAGGTTGTCTCAAGATTTCTGCTATTACAAACTGTAACCATGCCTAAACATGCTTCATGATGCACATGTGTAAGAATATTTATTTAGGGCACGGTGACTGGCAAATACTTTTGGAAAAGGGAAGATAGTAAAGACTTTTGGCTTGTGGGCCGTACCATCATGCAAAACCATTTGAGCCTCATGTAGTACTGTGAAAAAAGCTATACATGACTAACAATATTCTGAGAATTTATGGTCACTAAAATTTGAATTTTACAGAATTTTCACATTACAAACAATTAAGATATTTTTATTTTTTCAACCATTTAAAAATGGATTTTTCAAAACCCTATTCTTCACTCATGAATTAACACACCAATTTCTAATCTAGAATACATACTTGGGGGGTTAATTCAAAGGGTATGCGTATTTTCAACAGGTTGTCCCAAGTGGCTGAAGCAAACTCCCAAGAGCTTTGAGGGATGTTTTTTAACCTTAACAACTTAGTGCAATCAGTAAGTATGCAGTTGGTATCCTAATGTAGTTGCGATTTGTACTTCCCCATCATCCCTAACATTACTGGTCACTCCATTTCCTCTTCTCTAATGTGCCAGCTTTAGTCTGGTGCACTATTCTATTGGGTAGGATTGTCTTTTTCCCACTAGTTGTGAAAACTTTTACACATTTTTGTGTCATTATGTCCTGCAACTATAAGCTCAGTTTATAGCTTACCTTTTTAAAAAAAAAGTTTTAGGATTTCAGTTGTCTAAGTTCTTCTTTGCCTAGAACTCATTAAAAATGCTTTATTTAAAGTTTTTTTAAAGTTCTCCCTTTCCTGTTTGAGTAGGACAATGTCACTATCACCCATGTGGGTAACCAACTGTTTTAGAACTATTTAAAGAAATTCAACTTCTCCCTAAAGGTGCTCAAAACCAATACCGTCATAAACCAAGTTTCTGGGTTTCTGGCATTCAATTTCCTTGATATGCCTATCTCTCTTTAATACTGCCATCATCCTAATGATTATTTTATACTAATTCTTGAAAGACAATAAAGGAAGTCTTCTCTTCTTTCACTATGTTTTTAGGAG